GCAGCTGCTGAGAATTATTTTTGTTTCTTAACCGGTTTGGCTAGCGTCATTGTTATGTGTGCAAAACATAGCCAAGGAAGGAACACTTGATTTTAATTCTATAAGTTTTTTATCAAGCTTGCTTAATATTGTGCACAGCATAAACCTCAAAATATTGTTCTTATTGTTTATTGTATTTATTTATTCCATTTTATTTATTAATGAAAATATTTCTGTAGAATTTTGGAGTCTTTGTTTTTATCCTTGTGGTATCGAAAATGGTATCGAGTATCGAATATTTTCCTTGGTATCGGTATCGAGTTGAGGAGTTTAGTATCGTGACAACCCTAGCACATAGCACAAGTGACACTAAATGCTGAAGCACCAGCGTCTGGTTAAAAGTCCATTTGTTTTAGCCGTTTGAAAGCATAAGGCCCCTCAGTCGGTTTATAGAGACAGACCACAGATGAAAGACATCAGCAATTAAAAGCATGCTATCATAATGCCCAAGGAAACTAGTTTTCCACAACCCTCCTTGGCTCTCCGCTCTGAAAGCAGACCTAACTAACCGATGAAATCTTAATGAACTCCAGAGCTAAAGAAGCTCTCAGTGACACGAAGAACAACATTTACTTCATTCCCTCTGTCGACAATTCCCTTTTGGTCACTTTTATATTAACACAATCTGAGTGTGTGACTGTACGTCAGTGAAAATGAGTGCACTGGTTTATTTTCTCATTACAACCTTCACGACAAGCACCAGGTAGAAACAGGGGTGTGATTTGCTTCTGGCTGCACGCTCACAGGCACAGATGAGGTGTTTAAGCCCAGCTCACCGCAACACTTCACTATGAACTAAACGTCTAGCTATGCACTCAGGGCACCATTGGCGTTTGTGCTTGTATTTGAGCGTGTTTCTGCCCGTGTCATGTTTTTATGCAACACCACAAGAGAACATGTTTACCTCAAGGATGGTACAGTGATTTTGTGAAAATTCCATTCAGGATTGCATCGACTAATCAGTGTGGTCTGTGTTTTTTACTTTGTAATGCCTTAGCAAAGGTTACATCATTAAGTGGGACAAATGAGGAGGAGACCAAAGAAAGGAGTAAGTCTCAGGGGGAAGAGAGGACTGAAGCGACAGGCATTTTATATAAATAATGGGTACTTACAGATTTGACAGTGTCCTTGTCAACCTTGGCTTCTGTCTCCCACAAATGGTGCCCATCTGTTGACACAGACACCAAAGAGATTATGATAACATCTATGCCATATGATAAAAGAAGGCAATAGGTGGCTGAGACTTGCAGGAGAAAGTCAGGAAAACAATGGTAGTGTCTTTAACCGTAGGCCCCGGAATATTTGGTAAATTTCAAAATCTACAAGTTGCAATTCAATAAATTCAATAATCTCAGTAATTTAAGTAATTCAATAATCTCAGTAACTTAAGGATTTATCTGTCTGTACATCTATCCATCAATCTTATCTGAGATTATGTTGTGGATGTAAATGACTGAAGAAGAATTCAGACGTCACACTCGATGTCTATGGGAATGCTCATTGATTTGTCCTAGATCAGAGGTCTGCATCCAGCTCTGGGAACCCCAAGTAGCTCTTCAGAACCTTCAGATTGGCTCTTAATAACGAACGATGATGACAAAAAAACAGCTAATGTTTTCAATTAAAGACAAACAAAACAAAAGCAAATACAGGACTTTTTAAGAAAGAGTATGTAACATTTTGGGGCTCTAAATGAGTTATATTTGCATAGATGACTGAAAGCAAAAAGAAAGAAGTAAGATGCATCAGTCTACATAATCCTCCCTAGGTTTCCAACTTTCAGCTGTCTACAAATCACTTACGTCTTCTAATTACTTCTGGCTGACCCTTCTCTTCAGGCCAATTTTCCATGGCAGATCCTATCTAAGGTGGAAGCCACAGACAAAGCAGGCATAGGATCATAGGGGATACTGAAACTCCTCTACCATGTTAAACTGCCAATTCTGTTAAGGGTGGGGGGAAATCAGTGGTTGTCTTTATTAAGAAAAAGATAACCAAGAGTAACTTGCTTCTGTACAGTAAGTCCATAGGAAGCTTTTGTTCCCAGTTTATGCTTTCCTATTAGGTGTTTGATGCCAGTAAAGAACCCTGGTTCATTTGTTTTATTTCTTTTCTGCAAAACTGGCAGCCTTTCCCACTCTCCCTTTTTTTTTTTATATCCACTTGATGTAAAAAGGTTTCCCTTGCTGCCATGTACTCAAAGATCCCTGTGAGCTACTGCAGCTGCTGCAAGCCTGTAAAGGTTCAGCTCACATTCTTTGCGTTTTCCCTGGGATTTCATGCCACACCTTTCGTGAGCAGACTCGGGTTCTGCTGGGGCAATCAGGAATGGCCATATTGCAATTTTTTTTTTCTTTTTTTCAGAACCAATGAGTCATTACATCTGTCAGAAGTGGCAGGAAGACAGTGCAGCCTTTGTGTAAGCAACACTATATGAGGTAACACCATGGTTTCTGCAGCTCTCCTGCTATATGTTAGTAGCAGAATAGAGAGAGCTATAGATCAAGAGGAAATGCTAAACCTTTCATAAGAAACAGAAAAAAAAAATTGTTTAATGGCAATTTCCAAACTACTTATATCAAAGGACTAACTTAGCCGGCAAGATCCAAGAGGTTTTCTCTCTTTAAAGAGGCTTGTGTTTTTCAAATAATTGCATGAGTGTGAAGCTAAAGGACTGCAGTCAAACTTAGATCTTTATTGCTGAGATGTGGTAGTGGGGGCGGGTGGTCAACTTTATTGTTCTGAGAGAAAAAAAAAAAGTCAGTTGATAGAGCTTTCCAAAACGGCCATATTAAACACAGTAGACGACAAAAACAGACAGTGCACAGATTAGATAAGGGCTTCCTGTTGCGAAACTTGATGAAACTAGATCTCCATATGGAAAAGTATGCCTCTCTGTGAGGAAGATGCACATGCAGAATCATGCTGGTAAGATGACTGTGGAGTTAACAGACATCTTGCATGTAGCAGGTGAAAAGAGGCACACGTACTGCTGTGAAGCTGAAATGATTGGAGCAGGCCAATTAGAGCGAGCACAGACACAGGGAAGGTCATAACAACAGAGAGAGGCAGACAGAGATGAGCATTCCTCATGTTACGTCTAGAGGAACCAAGAGGGAATCTCGCCCACCTACGCTCTGGGAGACTCTCCAAGAGGGAAACCTTAGACTACAACGTCAAAGTGAAGCTCCAGCAGTAAACATGTTTTTCAAAGACTTAATCTTTCCACCTCCCTCTTCATATTTGCCCTCTCCATCTGCGTCTCTAAATCACTTTGCTCAAGCAAAGTTTAATGTTTTCTCAATCAAACCAAGAAATTCAACAATGCTGTGGTCGGATGGAGATGGAGGCTACTTGTGGCTTACCGTCAGAGATCGGCGTACGACTGATAACCACAGGACTTTCCGTTTTCTCCTTCTTCCCTGCAACATCTGCAAAATGCTTCTGTTCCCGACAACACCTCCTCATGCAACCAACCTCCACCCACGTTCAATGTGCACAAACAGATGCAGACACATGCAAACATACAACCACAATATCCTTTACCTTTGTTCTGGCTTTCAACTTAGATTATAGGAGGTGGCGAAGCACGGAACAATAGCTGCCGAGCACAGAACAGTATCCTTGATGGGAGTTTTGTTGGAAAACTAAGGGTTGATTTTAAAAGACAAATAGGTGGATGTGTGCTCTCTTATTCAAGGTATAATGCTCAGGGATAGGTGACTCACTTGAGGATAGGTGACTCACTTGATCAAATGAGATCCACAAAGACTAACACCAGACAACTCTGACAATACAATGATTCTTAGAGCAATTAGACTTTGCAAAGGCTGTGTCAACTTTGGCTCTTTGGCTTTATCTCCTAATAACACCTCATCCAGGTTGTGTAGTTGGTCACAATCTGGCAACACTGTTATAGTTAAGCTCACTCAAACAAATCTTGTTTGTCCTTTTTTCTTTGATTAAAGTCTTGATAATGATCAAGGGGAGGTCAATGAGCTCCATCTGGTTGAAATGAAAAATATATCATTATATTCCAGATAAATATTTCAGACATATGTTCTGACTCATTGCTTCAGAAGGCCCGACAACTGACTGGTGATATATTTACCCTTACAGTGAACTTACGGTTTTCGACAGCCAGAGGTGAAATTGCTTTTTAAAAAGCAGCGTTTTGTACATGGCAGCCTTCTGTGACTGAAGAGAGTTCAGTTCAGGTTATTTTGAGGATGGAAAATATGATTCACATGCCTAATTGGGGAGTTTTTCTTATGATGTATTTTGCAGCTATCTTTTTCTTCCAGCTTGGATTTTAAGAAGCATCCCCCCACTTTCCTGTTTACATATCTTGAGTTTATTTTCCATTTTATTACCTTTCTACTGCCCCTGCTGCTGCCTTGAATTAAAATGCTTCAGTAATTTTGCACACACTCTCACGGCAGTCACCTTGCTGCCCGTGGAAAAGTGAAGCCAGGAGACTAGACGGATTCTCCAGTGACTGATTCCAGAGATACAGCTGGAATCTCCTCCTGAACACCAGAGGCATTGTAAAAAAAAACTGTGAAACCAGGAAAATAAAAGTATGCTTCACATCCTGAGGCATCAGTAGCAACAGGGACCTGACAGTAAATATATGATGGATTTATAGTCAGGAACTCAGTTTGGGTAAGTGTATTATTTTTTGTTTTTTTGGGATGGGAGTGTTGGCCTAGAGGGTTAGAGCAGTGCACTTGTGCTATGAGAATGTTGCAAGTACCTGGTTTGATCCCCAAAGCCTCAATCTGGGTTACTGAGTGCTCCCAGGGCACCGAACAATGGCAGCCCACTGCTCCCCAAGGACATAGGTTAAATGCAGAGACAAATTTCTCCAATGTGAGATCAATAAAGTTCAGTTATTATTAATAAGACAGGTGTGGTGATTTTACCTGACTACAAAAGAGACTGGGCTTATATCAGTTTATCTGGTCGGTACTGCACATACAAAGGAAATGCTGAATGTTTTATAGTATTCATAGTATCAGCTTTGAACTTGTTCAGCTTGAAAGCTGGTTAGTGCTCCACAACATTTTTACAGACTAGACGTAACCTTTATAACTAATTGTTTTTTTCTTAAAAAATACCTTATTAAAAATTGCATCTCCCATAAAACAGCTGAAGAAATATCATTACTACTAATGTAGCCTAGGAAATCTTAAAGATCAATTGCATTTAGGGTGGTTTTTATCATTTAAATGCAACAATGTTCATGTTAATTCCATTTTTTTTTTCTCCATGAAAAACATATTAAAATATGTTTTTGTATGCATCTTATATGTGTATCCTTTTACACTAATTCTAAAACTAGGTTAAAATCTTGTCTCGTTTCGTTTGGCCACTATTATGAAGCAGGGTGGTTACCCAGGACAACATTCATGCAAGACCCAGTGTTTAGATATAACAAAAGGCAGTGTTTACCAAGTATTAGTCCAAAATTAGCATCATAAATCATGCTCTGGTCAGCCCAGTCAGATGATGATGCCAAAGCAGAGTCTAGACATACCAGATGTACAATACCTCAACCAGTTCATCTGGTGTTTAGACTTGCCTGTGCTAGCTGCTTAATTCAGGTGTAAACAGCCTTTATATGAACTCTAACAATTTTTCCAGCAGGAATTATGATTTCCAAATTCTACAAAATAAACTATCAGAAGACATGCTGAGGGCCAGTCTTTTCTTTGCTGCAGACCAGGCCGTGTGGCACTCCGGAGCTGCAGGCAACACTCCAATCCAACAGATTTAAAATCCATCCAGCTCACCAGGGAATTCCCTCCCCTCCCCTCTGAGTCAGAGAGTAGGCTTTCCCCATCTCTCTCTCTCTCTCTCTCTGCTGCTCTGTTTATCTGTCTGTCTCTCTATTTTCCCTGCCTCTAGCGCTCATTCCATCTGTGGAAAGCAGGGCAGGCCAGAACCCACACATTAGGTGTGCCAGGTATGTCTTCCTTTATCAGTGCCAGTTGAGCGGTTTGGATAAACTGGCACAAAATAAATAATAGCAACACCATAAAACCTGAATCCAGCTCGACAAAGCACAAGCTGATGGAAACTTGAACAAAATGCTAAAGCTGCGGCTCGGCAAAAGAATTTCCTTTCATCCCCAAAAGAGAGGAAAAAGACAAATCTTGTGAGCGA